GTAGTAGTAGCAGTAGCAGTAGTGGAACTGGAAGTAGTGTTCCCAAACTACAAATATTGAAATGCATGTGATGGGCCAGTCGATGCGCCGGCATCAGCAGCAGTGCCTGAGCCGTTGAGTAGAAATCGTGTTACCTCAGGATGAAGCACTTCGCTGGCTTCTGGCAAGTCGTCCCGGTGAGCACAGAAGAGCTTTGAGCTTGGTTTGCATCTCATGCGGATAGACATCACCTGCCAGGGCTCAAATCGGACTGATCTGCAGTCAGGCTCAATTTTGTGTCAGACGAAGAGACTTGCAATCATCCCAGCTGGCAGAAAGTTAAAGTCGTGGGGCTGTAATTCATCGTTGCATTACGTCAGAAGTTTCAGCCACAACTGTAATCGCGGCACAACCAGCCAGCAACAATAGCCAAATCTCTCAACATGGAAACATGACTGGGGTTACGCTAGATTGCAACTGCAACCCAAGTCTTTGCACTCTATTTTCTACTGCCGATCTTTTGAGTGACAAGCGCCTATTGACGGGATTGCTGAGTGGTCAATAGTGGTCACACTACGTGAGCGGGCCTTGTGGGATGCCACTCTAACGACCCATCGGAGAAATTGCTAGCCTGCCGAAGAATCTCGGTTGTGCGATTATGCGCTGTTGCATTTCCATCCGAGCTGAGGTCCGTAGTTTTACTGTACACGGAGGCCTGTGGAATATTCTGGTGACGGGACTGTACGAAGCCAGAACTAGAGGATACTATGCGTGCTGAACTGGCGGGTGTTATGCTGCCTCGCGCGGAGGGACCATCTGGATACAGCTGCTGATCTGCATTGTAGGCTGTTCCGGGCTTCCCGGTGCCCTCCTTGCTGAGGCACGCAGCAGTCATGTCTTCGACTCGGGAACATGTAGTTTCTGTTGTGGAGCCCGTATCGGGGCTTGAGCTTCCTTTGCATCTCAAGTATCATTCCGAATCACCAGGGCCTCACTAGGGCCACTAGATGCGCTACTGTACATGTGTCGAGTATAAGAAGTTTTCATGCTGTCGTTTGAAGAGATGTGTAATCCATGACCATTTCCGGCATCGCCTGACTCAACACATTGTATTGGAGCCATGAAGAAGTCCGTGACTTGCCTTTTTGCATGGCTTTGCATCGTGTTGCCTCGCCGCTTTGGCAGGCGCTTTGCCCGTGTGGTTGTGGAGGATATGGCATGGTCTGTGCTGAAGGACGCCTCACAAATTGCTTGGGCCGAGGAGCGTGTTTTTCTCGGAACAGTCCCGCCTCGAACACCTACGGGAGCCATTGCACAAGCCGGAATTTGCTATGTACGCGGACAGTCGTGACGAACTCGGGCTTCGCATTGTGCCAACAAAAGGACAGGAGGATTAGGGCTGGCTGTTTGGGTATCGATTTTTTTGCGGATGCTTTTGCATGGCCCTTCAGGTTGTGTCGCTCCTGTCGGGTGGATTCCCCAGCGGATTGTCTTAAGATTCTGTTTTTCCCTGACAGAAAACCGTGCAAGAATCAGTATCAGTGCAAAACTTCGCGTGTGTCGTCGGCCAGCAAATCTGCACGCAAAAACTTAAAACCAAACACACGAAGCTTGCCCAGATGTGCAGCCTCAAGAAGGAAGGATTGGATTGAATGGCCGGAAGTATCTACGAGCGGATGAGTGAGTGAAGTGAGTGAAGGCTTGTTTCACTGAGTAAATCACCGAGGACGGAGAGAATGAGCGGATCAGAGCCAAACATGTACTCGCAGGAAGGGTTCCGGTCTTTGGAATAACAGTCCATCCCATTTCGGGGCACTCGATAAAATCTATGCCGACTTGCGACCGAGTGCAGTGACGATACAAGGCGATCTGTGAGTGACTTGTGAACATCCCACGAGCTGCGGGGAAGCTTATGCTGTTTTTAGGAGTGTTTTGTAGCTTCCAATTCCAATGGGACGAATGGTGCCAAGTGGTCAAGAGCTTGACCACCCAACAGGACCTACGCGATGCTGCTGCCAATCCTCGCGCTTCTGCTTCTTAGTGTCTTAGTGTGTATTCCGCTAGCATTAGAAGGAATGGCCGAAGTGATTCTCTGTCAGTGCAGACAGAGACGTATCTGTGGCAGTGCGATCCTTGTGTGTGGGTCGCCATGCTGCTGTCTCAGTGGCCGTGTGCGTTTGGCAAAAAGGCTAATTTGCTGCGGCAGAGCATGTTTGTCTTATAGCAAGAGTTCGTCAGCTATATAGCTTCAGCAATGAATGAAACTTGCGGCTTGACCTGGAATTGCAAGTTGAAAGGTGCCCTAGTGGAAGAGCTGACACTGGAAGGTCAGGCTGGGCTCCTGGTTTTGCAATGAGAGCATCATTTGCACCCTTTCGTTTGGCAAGAGGGTCCAGACCTCGACAATGTCCGCAGGTGGATTTGCGGCCTGGGCGTCGTGAGCTGAGTGCGACCACTTAAAGTAGTCACCAAGTAGTCATAGGGTTGTTGTAAACACATTTGGCCAATCTGAGGGCGTATGTTGCATCCTCGAGAGAGCCCTGCGAGGAGAGACTGTTCTCAATGCTCCTAATATATGTATGCTGTACACTGTACTGTACATGATATGTTTTTGGTGGTGCAATGTATGTAAAGTATGTTGTATGTATGTATGTATGTATGTATGTATGTATGTGTTATATGTATGTATGTATATATGTGTGTGTGTGTGCATATGTATGTATGTATGTATGTATGTATGTATGTATGTATGTATGTATCACCGTGGTTGCGGTGAGTCAATGTGCTCACTTGTTGGGTTAATGGGCCCGATCCTTGAAGCTACCGAGACTCACAACCCCTCGCCTGCTTGTCGAGTGCGAGTGACAAAAAATGTATGTATGTATGTATGTATGTACGTACGTAGGTAGGTAGGTAGGTAGGTAGGTAGGTAGGTAGGTATGCGGTAGGTAGGTAGGTAGGTAGGTAGGTAGGTAGGTAGGTAGGTAGGTATGTATGTACATGTGTGTGTGTATGTATGGAGTGAACGTGGTTACGTGAACCGGCCAGACTTAACAGAGAAAAGTTTCAGGAACCTCGCCCCGTACAGTAACGGGAACTAGAGGCCGGCCGAGATAGGAACCGACAGAAGCCGTAAGTAACGGTAACCGCGGCCAGGGCTAAACCGAAACCCCGTCATCTGCTCGCAAAAATGCTGCAGCCATCAGCTCTTAAAAATTCAGACAGATTCTCCTGCGTGCTGCCACACTGCTACTTAGTTTCCTGACTTCGCTACTAGTACCACGTTCAGGTCATGTCCTTTACTGACCCATGTTGCGCATCAGTGCTGCGTGTCTTGCCTTATTCACAGCTAGCTGCCAGCATGTGCCGCGTGTGCCATGTCATCCACAGCAAGCATGCAGCTTCTTGGTTGCAAGTGTTTCAGGGTTAGCCGTGGAAGTCGGAGTCGCAGACCTCTTAGTCCCTCACCTCATGTTGTTGCGGGTGGCTGAGCACCTCGCCAGTGCAGAGGCGCTTCCTCTTGCGCTCGGGTCGGCTCAGCTGCACGTGCATCGAGCAGAACCCCCGAGCAAAGCCGTGCGGCAAGAGTGCAAGCCTTCTGCAAGCGACCCTGGAAGCCGTAGCCCGTAGCCCGTAGCCGTGGACCGAAAAGAAACGCCAGCAGGTGGGTCGGCCTCAGCGGCGATGTGGCGTCGGAGCCGCAGCATCAGCAGACGGGATCTTCCTGGCGCCACTTTTTTTTCGCAAAAGTTGCGACTGCAAGCAGTACTTCTCGTAGGTAGGAGAATGGGGCATGCTCAGGCACAATGCAGTCTTGGAAACGTTTGTGCTAGTCACTAGTGTCTGGCGGGAAATCTTGTGTGGCTAAGTGTCCTCGTTGATTGCGAAAGCACAGCCTCGTTTACACGGGATTGAAAGGGGTTTCCTCGGAAATCTCCAGTTGCTGAGCCCTCCGCTTCTCTTCAATGTTTTGTCGGGAGCCATTTCTCCGGCATGCATGGTACGACAGGGCTCGGTTTGGCAAGAATGCAGCGCAGCTGAGACCTTTTAGGGGACTGAAGGGGTGCCTGAAGGGGTGGCGTTCTAGGTTTCTCCAACATGCATGGCCAGCGTGTCTGGCTCAGACATGAGGCAGATGCAGCGGCGATGCGATCCGAACTTCTTCTGGCTCTCAGAGCAACGAAGACGTGCTGGACGCAGAAGTCCTCGAAGACTGCCTGCCTTGAACCGATGGAGACGCCGCGAAGGCTTCCGCCTTCGCTGCTCATGGGTTCTAGACCACGCTGGGACGTTCATTTCGCAGCCTTCTACTCCTTGTCCATTGTAAATTGTAAGCACTGGGATGGTCTGAATAGACCGACCTGTGCGCTACAGAGCAGGCGACCACCTGGGCCTGCGGAAGAGGGGTCGTCAAGTGCTGGAGGAAGCGGAAGAGAGTGCCACCGAGCCCGAACCGGGACCCGGTTTTGCAGCCGATCCTTTGCAGAACCTGCTTTTCTTTGTGACGGGACTTGGGATGGTCCTCCAAGGACATTCTTTTCGGTTGCTCTTGCTGGTGGCTGGTGGTACTGTTCTGCTGCTGGCAAGTAGTGCTACTAGTCCTAGACGCACTAGCACTAGTAGGAGTAGGAGCAGTAGTGGTACTAGTAGTAGTAGTAGTAGTAGTAGTAGTAGAAGTAGTAGTAGTAGTACTAGTAGTAGTAGTAGTAGTCCTAGTAGTAGCCTTCTGCTTCAGCTCCCAGTTTTTCCACCTCACCGTTTTGCCACCTCCGCCCTAAAGCCGAAACCTTCATTCCCATAGCTTCATCTGACAGATTTTCCATTTCACCCCTCAAGGCGAAACCGACGAAACCTTCATGCCCGCAGTTTCCTTTCAATGTTCTCCTACCTCACCCTGAAGCCGAAACCTCCATTCCCATAGCTTCATCTCGTTATTTTTCGACATTCCCGCGGCATCATTTCGTGTGTTTTCTCAAGGCGGTGCTGATGATGATGATGATGATGATGATCATCATCATCATGATGATCATGATGATGATGATGATGATGATGCTCAAGCAGGAAACAGAAATAACATTTCAACCTCGACGGTTGCAAATACCAGCATTTGGGACCGCCAAACTGAACAGCAACGTTCAAGACTAAGCATTCCTGACAACTGGCTCTCTGGAAAAGGATCGGTCTGGGCGTCCCACGGAGGGGTGAGCCCTAGTAGCACAAGGACGACGACGACTACTACTGCTACTGCTGCTACTACTACTACTACTACTAGTACTACTACTACTACTACTACTACTACTACTACTACTATGACTACCAAGACGAGCACGAATGCAGGACTGGAGCAGACAGGACGGCTGGAGTTGGCAGACTTGCTAGAGCCGGAGAGATGTCACAGCCTTCTGGTGAGGGCTGGACTGCGCGCGCCGTTCGTGCGCTACCTTTGCCTCAGGCAAGGCCTTTCTACGGTCCTGCTTGCTTCGGCAAAATTATCCCAGCTCAGAAGCTTAAACTATCTTAAACTCCAGCCTGAAGCACAATTCCCTGCCCGGTTCAGCAGGGCTCAGAGCCTGCCTTTTTTCTTGCGGTTTTCTTGAGGCGCCTCCAATGTCTGGGGCTCTGCTTGGGGCCGCTGCATTTCGTGGGTTTCGGAGCCCAGGCTGGGGTTGGCAGGAACGGGGTGGCCTTAAGCTGGCTTCAATTGGCCATCCTGAGATGTGGCGAGTTTCAGTCTTCCGCATTCGAATCTCAGGCTCGCTGCCAGCGATGCGGCTGCAAACACACAGCAAGCATTGCTCAAGATGACCTTTCTCTGCCGCGACCTCATAGCCAGCCATTTGTCACCTGCATGAGCTCTCCTCTTCAGCTGGAGCGACGTGCAGCACCTATGTTGCGAGTGACATGCCCGCATCAAGATTCACGCTTCTGTGCCCGAACTAATTCCCTTGCAATTTCACTACTTACATGCTCTGCCAAGCCGATAAAGTAAACATGCATGCTTGCACCCAGGATCCGCAAGTACCTGTGCCCACATGGTTTGCCACGTCTGCGACGTCCCAGCGATGGAGTGGAATACAAAGCGCTGGTCGCTGCATTTGCTGCTCGCCATGGCCTGGATTTGCCGCTACCCTTGAGGTCCCGCAAGCCTGCTACACCCGCTCTGTCTGCAGATGAAGCTACGTTTCTCGTCTTCTTCGAAGCTCTGCTGCTCCGATGGATACGGCTTTGGCATCCTGCTCGCCGCCCCTTTTTTCAGCAAGGTCGGCAGATTATGAAGGATGCCAGGTTCAAGAGCATGCACCTATGCCACTTCTGGATAGAAGCTTTTTTGTCTTTTGGAAGCAGGATCCTTGTCCGACATGCACCCGTCGTTCTATTCGTCCTCTTTGTAGCACGACCGGCTTGTTGCGTCAGTGGAACGCTTCATCACGTCTCTCAGGCTTGTCTGAGGGCACTCCTCGGGTGGAAAACGGTTTCCACTACGCGTGGCCGACCGCAAGTACAAATGCTAGATGTCAGCCCAAGCTGCTGGCTGTGCTTGCATGCATCCTGGGGGTCTGCATGGGTCCATCTTCTAACAATCAAACATGGGCCGTGCGTTCCAACCTGTGACGTGTGCCGTCATGCACCGCGATCCGCAGCTCCCGCCGCAGCGGCTGCGTCATTTCACGACAAAGATATTGCCGGGGTCTCGGCAGCAGCAGCGCTTGGACGTGGACGAAGACGTGGAAGCCAGGGCTTCGGAGAGCACCAGACGTCGGAGGGCGCAGGCCCCGGCATTGGACACTGCGCAGAAGAAGTCGGGGCAGAGTTCGGCCCCCAGCCCGCAGCCCGGCCTTCATCGGATCGGTCCGTGCGCCTCGCGGAAGCGGCGAAGGGGTTGCGAAGCACGTCCTTTTCCAAGATTGTCGAGGGCTTCCATGTCGGCCAAGACGCATGGGTTGGGTGTACTTTTCGCCAAAATGACGAAGGACACGAAAGTCTCCTCCGTTGTCCTCCGGCGGCAGTTGCAGATCAGATGGAAATGCGGAAGGCCGCTGTCCGAGGTC